CAACAAAAACCCCCCAAGACCCATCAGAAACGGGGGGGGGAGCCCAAAAAACAAACCAACCCCCCAAGACCCATTGGAAATGCGAAAAAACACTCCAAAAAGCAACAAAACCCCCAAGACCCATTGGAAATGGGGGGACCAAAAAACAAAGAAACCCCCCAAGACCCATCACAGCACAGAAATATAAGCCCCCCCAGCTCAAAACCATGCTGCAAAAACACCCAGAACAGTTTTTAAAAAGCTGAAAACAGCACCTTACCAGGCAGCCCGAAGCCTCCCTGCAAACACGCACACATGCTCTCAGAAGCAGTCCCAAGCCTCCTCCTCCGATGCACGCTCTCTAACTGCTGGGGCGAAAGAGCTACAAAGAAGCAGCCTCATCGCCACCTACAGTTAGCAGTTTGAATTTCCCGCTTTTCCCCTGCCTTTTTTGTTCATAAGTGGAAGCTCCAGTCGCAAGTAGAAGCAAAATTTTGCACCCGGAGCTGGTCGTAACTCGAAGTGGTTGTAAGTAGGGATATTCGTAAGTCAAGGTACCACTGTATTTTTACACACACATACCCCTTCTTAAAAGAACCCAAGGTGGCTTACAGCAATTAAAAGACAATATTTAAAAGCTTAAAACAGTGGGTATAGAAATATTTTAAAATTATTAAATAAGTATTATATTTAAAATGGTTAATAAAATCAATACTAAAAACACATTTTAAAACAGAACACAACAATCCATTTAAAAAACCCTCTCAGGGTGCCCGTCCCTAAGGAAAAGCTTCCTGAAGAGAAATACCATACGACACAAGTGATCCCAAATGCAGTCTGTTTCCAGGTGCAACCACACGCTAAGATTTAGCCCAATAATTTAAATAATTTCTGGAAATGTAGTCTTAATTTACCTACCGATTATACAAATGCAACAGTAGAACAGAGATGCTATGTCTACTAAGAAATACAATAGAGGGGTACCTTGATTTACGAACTTAATCCGTATTGGAACTGTGTTCGTACATCGAAAAGTTTGTAAATCGAGGCAAAATTACCCATAGGAATGCATTAAAAACCATTTAATCAGTTCCGGCTGTTTTTCGTTCTTATGTCGAGGCGCTGTTCGCAAGTAGAGCCATTAGTTCCCATAGGAACTAATGCAAAGCCGGTTAATCCGTACTCTACCACCAGGGGGAGAATTTTTTTCTTTTTTCTTCTTTTGACCGAAGATGAACTTACGTCAAAAAAAGGGCAGGAAAAGTTTTATTTTCTTGTTCGCAAGTCGAAGCAAAATTTTGTGACTGGAACCATTTGTAACTCGAAATGTTTGTAAGTAGAGACGTTCGTAAGTCAAGGTACCACTGTACTACTTAACGGTATGACAAATTTAAAAAATACTAATGAAGCCAACTTTTAGAAATAAATTCATAAGTCCAAGTCAAGCTGCATACTTTCAAATAAACAACTCGGCACAGATATGAATATGTTATTGATACTCTGGTATTACACAAATTACTTAAAACATTGTAAAACTTAATTTGATTTACATTTTGCAGAAAGAGTGGGAAATATAATACCTCAAAAGAGAAAGAACAAAACTTAAGGATTCTCCAGACAGTACCTGGAATGTAAACAATGAGAAAGAAGTCATCTGTCTCGCTTTTACAATTAAAAGAATTGAAAGCTGCTTATTCCTTTGAATGTATTGAATCTTCATCAAATAAACCTAAATTTGTTAATTCAGACATGCAGCAAGTCAGCCAAATCTAGCCAGCTAAAGAAGTTCTACAAGAGAAGGAAGAGTTGTCAGGATGCCAAAGAACACAAACAGGAATTTTTTGCATCATTTGAGGGGGGAGGCAAATTGTCTCTCTATCATCAGTGAATGTTCAGTTACCAGAGACATTGCAGGAAGACTTTCTTCAGTGACAAAATTACATGATTCCTTAAATCTGCACAATTATTTAAACCCAAATGTTCTGGGAAGTTATTCAGGATTAATGCCTGAATATGGTGCATCCTTTTATCACCAGGACCTGGTAGAATTGGGAAGGATTTTGGGGTGAAATCTGTGATTTCCAGCAGTTCACCTATATGTAATTCAGAGTCAGAGCCATTTTTCAGTGAAAGTAATGAGGAAACTACTAAATGTTGTGCTTTCAATCAAAATGAATATCTGGAACATCTCACTTGCAGTTTTTCTTATCCTTACTATTCTTGGTACTTCTTAGTATTTGTGTCAAACTAGTAGCACTTAATACTTAATAGCTCATATATACCAGGTGCTTCATTATGAAATTTGCTGACTGATTCCAGGCATATCTGCATCTAGAAACATGGCATATAATGAACAATGAATATTCTTAGACTTCTAATTTTAATGTTGACGGATCACAAGTGTTTACCTGTGGCCAGACCTATACGTTGTATATTTTTTCTGCAGTAGCCTTTACATGCAGCTATCATTGGATCTATCACAGTACAGTGGTGCCTCACTTGAGGATAATCCGTTCTAGCAAAATCGCTGTAGAACGAAATTGTCATCAAGCGAAAGTAAAAAACCCATTGAAATGCATTGAAAACCAGTTCAGTGCGTTCCAATGGGTGAAATACCTCAGCATCCAGGAAAGATCCTCCATATGGTGGCCATTTTGCAGTGCCTGTATAGCGAGGAATCCGTCCTAAAACACAGCGGGGAGCCATTTTGAAGACCCGACGATCAGCTGTTTTGATCGTCGTTAAGCGAAAAATCGGTTCCCGAAGCAAGGGACTGATCATAATCAATCCTATCTAAATATTGTTTTGTGATCGTTATAGCGATTGCAAAATACTCATCGTTAAGTGATTTTCTCGTCTAACAAGGTCATCATCAAGCGGGGCACCACTGTACCAGAAAACCAGCCTTTGGCACAAATTCGTTTTTCTTCCAATATTGACTTGTGAGACTATAGCTCTATTTCTCTCTCTTTTTAATGGTAATCACTTGGGTGTTACAATGCCTCTTCACCAAAACAGAGGCTCTATTAAAGGCTTGAAATTTCTCCCTGTTTGCTATTACATGGACTATCATTTATGGACACAACCTGTGGAGCAAGTAATAGTGAACCAATCCATGTACTGTTCTGGGGGCTGTTCTCCAACAAGTCATGCACACTGAAGCCCATTTTTCAGATACTGAACTTTGTATGCATCACTGGATGTTTGTTCACATAGCTGTACTACATGGAATAATTTAACATCTGAACAAACTGTTGCATAGCAAACTGAAGCCCCAGATATCACCAGTATTGTTTTATGTTAAATGTTATGAGGAGCCTTATATTTTCTGCCCAGTACTTGCCTCCCAGTGATCATGGGGATGGGATGTATTTCCAAAGAGGAAATCAAAGAGAGTTCTTAAAGTAGCCCCATCACCCAGTTTCCTATTGCAGGTACCTTTGGTTGTTTTTGAGCCTCCTCAACAATTAAGTTCTGAAATCAGAAATAAACCTAACAGGCAATAGCAAGCGCACATCTGGAAGTAGTGTGCCTGGTGAAAGAGGATGTGGGGACCCCAACCAAGCATTATATGAATGCCCACTCCTTTGAATTGATATCTCTTATCTTAGCTAACCAGTGTGTTCAGGAAAAAGCATCTGCCAAGGTAACATGAGTTATGCCCTTGAAATTTCCCCTCTTTATGTTAATAAGGGTTAACTTGAGATTCCCTACACACTATCAAAAGTGAGATTTCAGCATTTTAAGCATCCTACTAGAATTAAAAATACTGTCCATTTCAAAGTTTGTGGAATCACAGTAAAAGCATCCAGTGCAAAGTAGTAAGATAGCCATTTTTCTTCCCCTCTATCAGTGAAAAACTCACATACCAGAGGGATTTGCCAACCTTGGAGAAAAACATGGCTGCTGCATCTGCCATTCAGATGTGTAAGGGATTGCAGATCTAGCTCAAGTTTATAGAAAATAGAACACCATGACCCATGGAGGTGGAGTAAAACACTTGACTTGTGCCATTTGTGACACATTAGATCACATATACTTCTGCTTTATTGCAGCAGAACAAGGAACAACTACTGTTAGCTTAACTAACAAGTTTTAAAGTACAGTGTGTTTTTTCTTTACAGTCAGCTACCTGCAATGAACCCTCCTTTTGTCTTAGGTCAAGTCATTTCCAAATCTTTTTAAAATATATTTTTGACCCGTAAGATTTCTTACATTTGTTATTGAAAAATTTATTTAGTCTTAATATTTTCATCTGTACTAAGAAGGCCAAATCTAGTTTTTGGGAACCATTTTCAATTAATATTGAGCAGTTTATATGAAACATAATCTTATACAACACTGCTCAATTCAGTTTAGATTGGCCTACTTAGATTGAAATAACCACAGTATGAGATTGGCAGATTTATCTGCAAGTTATACATTTTCAAACCCCATTTGATTTAATTGAAGTTTAAATATTTATTTCTTGAGTTTACATCTTTATTATGCTGTTTTTAGCCAAATCACTAGCCTGAATCTATTCTACATTTGAATTGATTCACAAACCTTTAACTATGGACATCCTGTATTCCAGTTTGATAGTACTAAAGCCAGTTTGATTCTGTTGAATACACCTACATTCTGTCTGTCTAAACGCAAGGTACAGTGGTGCCTCGCTTAGCGATTGCTCCATTGAGCGACGAAATCGCTTAGCGATGGACTTTTTGCAATCGCAAAAGCGATCGCTTAGCGATGGTCCCTATGGGGAAAGTTCGCTTTGCGATGATCACGGGGAAGCGATCATCGCAAAGCGCCCATTTTTGCAGAGCTGATTGGCGGTTTCAAAATGGCCACCAGGAAAACAAAATGGCCGCCCGCTATTTTTCCTCACTTAAGAGGCAGCGAAAATGGCGGCGCTATGGAGGATTTTCGCTTAAGGTGAGTTTTTAAGCCCATAGGAACGCATTAAACGGATTAACGTCGCTAAGCGAGGCACCACTGTATACAGTTTGTGGCTGTGTGTAATCCACCTTTTTGTATTTGTATTTGCCATTCAGAATTATATGTACAGTGGTGCTTCGCTTAATCCATTCCAGGAAAATTGCTGTTAAGCAAAAACAGCGTAAAGCAAAAAAAAACCCATTGAAACGCATTGAAACCCCTTCATTGCGTTCCAATGGGGTCAAAACTCACTGTCTAGCGAAGATCCTCCATAGGGCAGCTGTTTTCGCTACCTGTCTTGCGAGGAATCCGTCCCAGAAAACAGTGGGGAGCCATTTTGTTTACCCAGTGGCCATTTTGAAACCGCCGATCAGCTGTTTTAAAATCGTCGTTTTGCGAAGAATCGGTTCTCGAAGCAGGAAACCTATCATTGCAAAGTGAAAAAACCTTATTTAGACCATTGTATTGCGATGCAATTGCAATCGCAAAAAGATCGTCGTAATGCTGTTTTGACGTAATGCGGGGCAATCATAAAGCGTGGCATGACTGTACAACACTTGAGTGCTTTAAACACAGGGCATGTTTGGTTTTAAAATGTTTGCATTACAGTATTTCTTAATATTCTTGTACTAAACTGTTACCTTAACATAAGTTGAAACCTTGGGGTTTAAAGGCTAATGTATCACACATAAGCCTTTTAATGTATTACATGGCTCTTTTTGTAACATTTTTAGTATGGTACTATAATAATACTGCAGTTTTTCTTTTTTTAAACTTTATGTATTTCTTAATATTCTTGTACTAAACTGTTACCTTAACCTCTTTTGTTTATACATGTACCTCATATATATCTTTCTGATTTTTCTGCAAAATAATGGTTTTGAATTAAAAAGTGTAGACTGGAATAGTGGGCATGTTCTTAATCTGCATATTCCAGTCCATAGCAGGGACCGAAAACTGTTCGACCCAAGAACGAATTTGGTTTCGGAGAACCACACAAGTCACCAAGTATCAGTGGGATGTAGGGCCACATTCCCTAAATGAACAGTTCACCTCTTCCGTACATATAGCCCTAATATGCCTGTCCACATAGAGTTACACAGTGCATGCCCACCCACACAAATAAATACTTCGTTATCTCTGTGGAGCCACACACACGGGTTTTTCCTCACTTGCACATCATGCTCTGGAACCTTCCTGGCTCAGAATATTGAATTTTTGTCATAGCCCTATCCCTCTCCAATGTGCATACTCCTCCAATTTCTCCATTTCCCTCAGTTCTGTCTGCCTTGCTGACTACATATGATTAGGAAATTCCATTACTTCATTATCTACCTCATTCATGGTAGGTTTTCCTCCTCCTCATGTCATCTTCCCATCTTGTCATTTTTTTTCTTAAAAAAACACACAAAAATCATTAGTCACTGTTCTCCCTGTAAGTCCTCTGCTGGGTTGTGGCACCTGGCCCTGTTTAAGAAGTGTTCCCAGTGCAGAGCTAACATACTCTTCCAACATACACTTTTAAGTACCTCCTTTGCTCTGGCGATCACATGCTCTCTCCAGCTATACCAGTATGTATTTGGTCCCAGCTACCCATTCCACCTCAAAACTGACATGTTGGTACTGACTGTCTTGACTGTAATGGGTTTGTGCATTTTTGGCCTGGATCATGTGAAGAACCAGAGAGTTAAGACACAAAGATGGAGACCAACAAAACCCAGAGGAACTATGGAACATTGTATTTCTAGCTATAAGCCCTCATAGTAAGAAATTCAACTATTGAACTGTGCACTTTTTGAACTATGCTTTCAGCAAAGTTGACAGAACACATCTGCTGCTGAGAGAGTGGAGCAAAGGGGATTAAGAAGACCCTAGTATGAGGTTTCTCCTGAGCAAGCAGATTCCACACCAGACAGCTAAGTGATGGGAGACACACTAACCATTCCATATTACACAATAAAAGCAAAGCAAAAAGCGCGCTGCTTATATAGCGTCCCATAGCGCTTCAAGCACTCCCTGGGTGGTTTACAAGTTAATTATGCAGACTATGCATTGCCCCCCCCCCAGCAAGCTGGGTACTCATTTTACCAACCTCAGAAGGATAGAAGGCTGAGTCAACCTTGAGCCAGCTACCTGGGATTGAACCCCATGTCATGAGCACAGTTCTTCGTGGCCTCTGTGAAATCATACTAATTGGTTAATCTGCGCCTGTGCAGATGCTCTCGGAATATTCTAGAGCTTAAAGTAACACTTTTGGCTCCGCCCCCAGGACCTCATGGTCCGCCCGCCCTAACAGCTAGCTCAGTTCCATTTTTTCCACTGCTGCAGTTAGGTCTCCTAGCTAGAGCTCCGTAAATATTGTGGAATTCGTTGAAGATCTTCTCTTTGTTTGGCTCCTTCTTCACTTCAATACTTCAGGAAAGTACAATACTTTGTTTTGGAGGGGAGGTGTTTCCTTTGGGCTTT